TAAGTAGAATATTCTGTAACCATGGAAACGTAGCTGTGTCTTTAAAACCCGGTAAGTTTTAAAAGTTACTCCAAAATTCGCTTGAAGATGAAATGGAAGTAATGCTTTTAATTTAATTGCAAAATTAAATTCGGGGTTTTTTCTTCTATTTTGAAACATGGTTGGAACTGTGTAGTAAAAAAAACATATTTTAAATCAATTAATTTATAATATTAATGCTCTGTAAATTTACATTGAGCACTATTTTGTAAAAATAAAATATCTATAAGAACACCGGATTTTATCTTACTGTTCTTTCTTTTTATATATATATATATATATATATATATATATATATATATATGTAAAGGTGAAAATTGAAGTCAACACTCAGAGGCGACAAGCTGTTTAATGCTGGACGCAATCGTCGGGCCGCCTGACGATTGCGTCCAGCATGAGACAGCCTCTCGCTTATGAGTGTTGATTTCAATGTTCACTTTTATATTTATATTTACATACGCTCTATTTCTGATATTGAGCACTTTATCCCATAAATATAGCACTCCTTAAAACTATATTTCTTCATATATATATATATATATATATATATATATATATATGGTGGATTCTCCCGTCGTATTCGACGTATGCGCGTCAAGCGGCTCAAGTCCTATGAACCGACAGCCAGACACCAGCACATAGGATTTGATTATAGTAGTGAAGGTTTTGGGCAGAACCAACCACACTTTTTGGAAAGCTGCATAGAGACCTGGTGCACGGTGTGACACAATGTCCCCAACCGACCATCCTCAGGTTTTAAATTCAGAGTTATCCATTTCCTAAACGAATTGCCATACAAGGCTATAGAATCCAGTCTATTCTGCTATTTACCCATAACTGATATATATATATCGGGAGTAACAGTAAAAATTGTTCAATCTTGTAACAGCAAAATTATCGATTTCTTGCATTAAGCTCTGAAACATTGTACCTTAGAAATGATTAAAGATATCTTACTGGAATACTCTGAGGTTTTTATAACACTATTTGACTCTACTTTGAGCAATAAAAATGTATAATTACACTCTAAGTTTAATAAAAGTATCGTAATAAAATCGTTCATAAACGAAAATTACATTCATAATTAATTAATCATAGCTGAGTATCGAAAGCTCATGAGAGATTGAAATAAATTTCATATATATATATATATATATATATATATATATAATTTTTATTTAAATATATGATTCGAACTCGCGACATAATAGGTCTCATGTTTCAAAACAAGAGCCGAAAACTTCAATATAATTATTTGAATTAAATTGAGTTAAAGTAAGCTCTGTTCCATCTTCATACGAAATTTATTTTGGAATAACGTATTTCTGAAATTTACGTGTTTTAATAATTGAAATCAAAATTTCCATGGTAACAGCTAGGGCGAATTGTTTAAGTTGGGTAGGCGGGTGTTGGGTGTTAATAATAAGTATCAGTATAGAGTTACTTTCGTAGATGTCAAGTCAGGGAAAGGTGGGGTGTCTAAATTTGAAACGGAAGATGTATTAACCCTCGTCTAGTTTGCATGTCTATGGAGATTTATTTATTTTTTATAAAAAAGGATTTGTGCATATAAAAAGGGAAAGGGATTTGTGCATATAAAAAACTGTCGTAACGTTTGTTTTTTGACGACTTCATAAAGGGCTATCATTTTGTAGGGTATTTAAACTATTTATTTAAAAACCGTTAACTCATGTCTATTGTTTAATAGATTATTATTATTTAGAAGCTTAATAATGTACAATTTCTCATGGAAGCACAAAGGGCATGGGTCATCCCAAGTTTTACATGTTCTCGCCCTGTTTATAATTTTCCATTTTACTTTATGTGTCCTATTTGTTTCCTTCAGATGCCAAAAACATTTATAAATATATATATATATATATATATATATATATATATATATATATATATATATATATATTGGACTCTCCTATCGGGAGCGATAAATGAGGGTCAGCTTTGGATGGTGCCTTTCGTCTTTCGTTTTGCATGCTATCAGAGGCTATCGTGGAGAAAATCAGGTAAGGGAAAGACATATTTCATTCGTGCTTTCTTGATACTAGCCCAGCCTTGCCTGCGGGCGACAAAGCCACACTGGCAGATGAAATTTGTTAAAGCAGTATTTTGATGGCCTCTCTGCTTCAGAACTTGATGAAGCTGATCACGGCGCTTTTTAACTTAATGATGCGCCACTCTTATCGGGTTGATACTCGGGTTTCCCAGATTTTCAGATCATATATATATATATATATATATATATATATATATATATATGTATTCCAGGATCATTTTTAAACTTATTCAAGATGATCTTCGCCCACTAACCTTCTATCTTTCTGTCCTGGAATAACGAGGTATCTCACATGTTTCAGGCATGATTTCATTTTCAAGTCTTTTTTCACTGCTCTTTGGACTGTCATAGCTGAAACTCCTCTCTCAGGTGCCAAAAGTCTTATGTGCTGAGTTGGATCTTTTCTAATTGATCTCTGTAGCTCTAAGTTGAAATGATGATCCCCCTTCCTGTTGTGACTTCCTGATCCAGTTTTCCTCTCTACTGTTCCCTCTTTTTTAAACATATACCTTTCTCTTGGTGGTTCTTAAATAGAAGCAAGAGTATGAATGTTGGTACCATTACTGAAGGCCTGAATGATCTTTTCCTTCTCAGCATTGCTCAGTTGGAAAAACATAGTGGTACTGACATAAAACGATTTTGACCTGTTCTCTCTCTAGTTGAATGACTCAAGGGGTTTTTCAGTGATTCTTACGACAAATGGCGTCAAGATGGCTAAACGTCTTATCTGAAAACCTGGAAAAAAGAAATTCACTTGTCTGTCTATATATCCTCAAGGACAAATGGCACAGTGGATAAAGGCGTTAGTTAGATTCACTGACAGGAACCAAAGAGTGTGAGTTCAATAACCGGTTAAGGGAGTTAAGAAATTTCGGAGGGGAATTAACAGGAGATAACTGACATCCATTAGACATGGCACGTGGAACTAGAACAGCCTACCCCAGTGAGCGAAATAAAGGGTTCAGTTCGACATCCCAACCACCTGAAGAAGGCCGGAGCGTACAACGGCCGAAACGTTGTGATAAATATGGCGACAAAGATGAGGACAATAGTCCGAATAATGTACATAATGTAAATAGTGAAACTCAATTAGTTTTAGTGATTCTTTTGATATTAAACATTTTGTGGGCTGGACAATTATTCCATGCTGTTACATGGTTTGGATAATTGCTGTTAAACCCGGTATATATGGAGAAGCGATTTACACCTGGATCAAAGAGAGGAGAAACGAAGGTTTGCCGCCGGGGAAAAGCGTGCTCGATGGAAAGAAAATAAGACGGTGACATCGGGAGAGATCGTCTTCTCATACATCGGTTGCAATCATTCTCGTGTCGGCCTGGACAGCCATAACAGATGCTGCACCGCAGTTAGCACCTGAAGCATAATACTTTCTTCTTGTTTTAATTGAATAAATGTTTTCAGTTTGAGACTGTAAACAAGATCTTTCACTACACCGGACAAGAAAAAGTCTGGTCGTATAAGGCCTGGTGACCATGATGGCCACTCAACTGCTCGAAATTGTGCTTTTTACCTGAGCTTGAAATTAAGTTTCAACCATTCCCGAATGCGTAAGCCATAGTTACCTGAAGTCATCTTAAACTACTGTGTTTTATAGATTACGCAAAGGCGTTCGTTAAATTACGCTACAAAGATCTGTTGAAACTGCTCAGCAATCTTGACATATTTGGGAAGGATATTAGAATAATCCAGAACCTATACTGGCGGCAAACCGCCTGCATACGGATAGACAATGTGTTCATCAGCGTATGTGTGTGTGCGTACGTATGTGCGTATGTGTATGTATGTGTGAGTGCGTTTACACATGTGTGTATGTATCTGTGTGTATGTGTGTGTATTTAGGTATTAGGTTGGTGTAAAAATAATGACATAATAATGTCGTTTTTGACGTATTTTTAACGTCAAAAAACGACATTATTACGTCATTATTTTTGCACCAACCTAATAGTATGATTTCTTCGTATCTCAATCTGTATCTATATGATTTCACGATCTCTTTTTCTCTCTCTCTCCCTCTCTCTCTCTCTATATATATATATATATATAAATATATATATATATATATTTCTGCCTGTTTAGATATCTCTCTCTCTCTCTGTCAATATATATTAACTTTTGGGTTCTTCTATCTATCTATCTATCTATTGCTTATTTAGATCTCTCTCACTCTCACTCTCTCTCTCTCCCTCTCTCTCTCTCTCTCTCTCTATATATATATATATATATATTATTAATTTCCCTGGTTCTTTACCATCTATCTATCATCTATCTATCTATCTATCTATCTATCTAGTTCTGCCTGTTTAGATCTCTCTCTCTCTCTCTCTCTCTCTCTCTCTCTCTCTGTCCATCTATATTAATTTCCCTGATCTATCTATCTATCTATCTTGGCCTGTTTAGGTCTCACTCTCTCACTCACTCTCTCTCTCTCTATCTATCTATCTATCTATCTATCTATCTATCTATCTATCTATCTATCTGTCTGTTTAGGTCTCACTCTCTCTCTCTATCTATATTAATTTCCCTGATCCTTCTACTATCTATCTATCTATCTATCTATCTATTTATCTATCTATCTATCTATCTCTGCCTGTTTAGGTCTCACTCTCTCACTCTCTCTCTCTCTCTATCTATATTAATTTCCCTGATCCTTCTACTATCTATCTATCTATCTATCTATCTATCTATCTATCTATCTATCTCTGCCTGTTTAGGTCTCACTCTCTCACTCACTCTTTCTCTCTCTCTCTCTATCTATATTAATTTCCCTGATCCTTCTACTATCTATCTATCTAGCTAGCTCAATCTTTTAAGACACCACTCTCTCTCTCTCTCTCTCATTATTTATCACAATCTATATCGATTTCTATTCATGATCTTTCCCTCTCTATCTCAGTTTGTTAAGATCTATCTATCTATCTATCTATCTATCTATCTATCTATCTATCTATCTATCTATCACATTTAGTTCACATATCGAGATATTTTGCCAATCACTTTCTCTACTATCTACTGATTCTTGTTGGTGATAATTGTCTTGTCTGACATCGAATATTGACCCTAAGGAATAAAAGCCTCTTGATATTTGACAGAGCCTCATTTCACATAGCCGGAATCTGATTACTCAATCGTTAAATAGGGTCTTCGTAATCAAAACCTGATTAAGTTTTCAATAATCTTCTTTTTTTGCGTTAATAATTTATTTTTGAAATTCATTTTGTTAAAAGCACGATAATCCTTCTCCCAGATTGGAGACTGTCGAACGGTCGTTGGGTCGATTTTAAAGGAAGTAAAGTTTTTTTTTGTTAAGTTTCTTAAAAGTTAAGTTAATTAAATTCTATTCTTGATTTTAATTAATTGCATCGTTTGAAATCGTTTTTCATTTGATTTCACCGGTTCAGTCCAAGAAAAGGGGCGAACAATAATACTGAAAATTCGAAAAGAATTCTTGCTTTTTATTATTACTCATTTCCTCTATTCTCGCTCGATTTGGTTCTTTCTTTCTTTCTTTCTTTCTTTCTTTCTTTATTTATTTATTTATTTATTTATTATTTTTTTTTTACTGCTCGATTGTTCGGTCATAAGCCGTCTTTCTTTTTGTCTTTCTTTCTTTTACTGCTCGATTGTTCAGTCATAAGCCATCTTTCTTTCTTTCTTTATTTATTTTACGGCTCGATTGTTCGGTCATAAGCCATCTTTCTTTCTTTTTTTCTTTCTTTCTTTCTTTATTTATTTTACTGCTCGATTGTTCGGTCATAAACCGTCTTTGTTTTTTGTCTTTCTTTCTTTCTTTCTTTCTTTTACTGCTCGATTGTTCGGTCATAAGCCACCTTTCTTTCTTTCTTTCTTTCTTTCTTTATTTTACTGCTCGATTGTTCGGTCATCAACCGTCTTTCTTTTTTGTCTTTCTTTTTTGTCTTTCTTTCTTTCTTTCTTTCTTTCTTTCTTTCTTTTACTGCTCGATTTTTCGGTCATAAGCCACCTTTCTTTCTTTCTTTCTTTCTTTCTTTCTTTCTTTATTTATTTATTTTACTGCTCGATTGTTCGGCCATAAGCCGTCTTTCTTTTTTGTCTTTCTTTCTTTCTTTCTTTCTTTCTTTTTTTTACTGCTCGATTGTTCGGTCATGTTTCATCTTTTCTTTTTCTTTCTTTATTTATTTATCTTACTGCTCGATTGTTCGGTCATAAACCGTCTTTCTTTTTTGTCTTTCTTTCTTTCTTTTACTGTTCGATTGTTCGGTCATAAGCCACCTTTCTTTCTTTCTTTCTTTCTTTCTTTCTTTTACTGCTCGATTGTTCGGTCATAAGCCATCTTTCTTTCTTTATTTATTTATTTTACTGCTCGATTGTTCGGTCATAAACCGTCTTTCTTTTTTGTCTTTCTTTCTTTCTTTCTTTCTTTCTTTCTTTCTTTCTTTATTTATTTATTTTACTGCTCGATTGTTCGGTCATAAGCCGTCTTTCTTTTTTGTCTTTCCTTCTTTTTTTCTTTTCTCTTTCTTTCTTTATTTTACTACTTGATTGTTCGGTCATAAGCCGTCTTTCTTCCTTTCTTTCTTTCATTTGCTGTTCTATTGTTCGGTCAGAAACCGTCTTTTTTATCTTTCTTTCTTTCTTTCTTTCTTTCTTTCTTCCTTTCATTCATTCATTCATTCGTTCTTTCTTTCTTTATTTGACTGTTCGATTTTTCGGTCATAAACGTTGTATTTTTCTTTTTTTCTTTAATTCTTTCTTTTCTTTAGCTGCTCGATTGAAGGTCATAAGCCGTCATACTTTTTTCTTTCTTTCTTTGGTTGATCGGTTGTTCGATCGTTACCCTTCTTTGTTTTATCTTTCTTTTTTTCTTTCTTTCTTTGGCCATAGGCTTTCTTTGTTTTTTTCTTTCTTTCTTTGTGTAATCTATTGTTTGATCACAGAATTTCTTTTTTCGAGTTTTCTCTCTTTTTATCTTTGTTTTTTTTCTTTTTTCTTTGGCTGCTCGATTGTTCGGTCATAACCTTTCTGTCTTTTTTCTTTCATTCCATCGTTCTTTCTTTCTTTATTTATTTTACTGCTTTACTGTTCGGTCATAAGCCGTCTTTCTTCCTTTCTTTCTTTCATTTGCTGTTTGATTGTTCGATCAGAAACCGTCTTTTTTTTATCTTTCTTTCATTCATTCATTCGTTCTTTCTTTCTTTGACTGTTCGATTTTTCGGTCATAAACGTTGTATTTTTTCTTTTTGTCTTTCTTTCTTTCTTTTCTTTCTTTCTTTCTTTCTTTCTTTAGCTGCTCGATTGAAGGTCATAAGCCGTCTTTCTTTTTTCTTTCTTTCTTTCTTTCTTTCTTTCTTTTCTTTCTTTCTTTCTTTGGTTGATCGGTTGTTCGATCGTTACCCTTCTTTGTTTTATCTTTCTTTTTTCTTTCTTTCTTTGGCCATAGGCCTTCTTTGTTTTTTCTTTCTTTCTTTCTTTCTTTCTTTCTTTCTTTCTTTCTTTCTTGCTTTGTGTAATCTATTGTTTGGTCACAAAATTTCTTTTTTCGAGTTTTCTCTCTTTTTATCTTTGTTTTTTTCTTTTTTCTTTGGCTGCTCGATTGTTCGGTCATAACCTTTCTGTCTTTTTTCTTTCTTTCTTTCCTTCGTTGTTTCTTTCTTTCTTTCTGTCTTTGGCTGCTTGATTGTACGTCCATAAGCTTTCTTTCCTTCGTCGTCTTCATCTTGGTCTGTTAATTATTTTCTATCACATTTTTTCCCTTTGTCATACTTATTCTTTCACAATCTTTCTCTATTTTGAGTTTTCCATCTTCTTTCTTTCTTTCTTTCTTTCTTTCTTTCTTTCTTTCTTTCTCCACCTCTTCTCCTGTTCGTTTTTATTCCTTTTTTTTTTATGCTCTTTATCTTACACTCTCTAATTCCCAGTTTCAACACTTTTTCTTCAAAACACAACATTCCCTTTCTATCTACCTCTCTTTCTCTTTTATAATCTTCTTCATCTGCCTCATCTCTCTCTATCTGTCTTTTCCTTTCAGAATGTTTAGTTTTACGTCTCCATCGATTTTCTCATTCTTCTGACCGATCTCTTTCTCGTATGATGTCTTCCCCTCTCGCAGACGTTTATTTTTCATTTTATACTTTGAGCCAGTATGACTATTGTTGGATTTATTTTACAGACAGTTCGAGTCCAGGTAAATTCAGAAGTTTGAATTAACGTTCCAAATGAAACCGATATCAGCTGTTCGTACCTTGGAACCTTGGAGTTTTTATTATATTACCAAACCCTTGGTACCTTCAAGCTTTTATTATATTACCAAACTCTTGGTACCTTGAAGTTTTTATTATATTACCAAACTCTTGGAACCTTGAAGTTTTTATTATATTACCAAACTCTTAGTACCTTGGAGGTTTTATTATATTACCAAAATTTTGATACCTTGGAATTTTTATTATATTACCAAAATCTTGGTACCTTGAAGTTTTTATTATATTACCAAAATCTTGGTACATTGAAGTTTTTATTACATTACTAAAATCTTGGTACCTTGAAGTCATTATTATATTACCAAACTCATATCGCAGGGGAAACTGTTCAATTTGTTGAATTCACTTCTCCGTGAGGACTGCCAATTTATAGTTTTTTTTTTATCAGATTAGGTTCATTTATTAAAACCGTTTTCTTTTCTTTGTATCTACAGGCACTAAGTCCTACAACTGAATTCTACCGTTTAATAGACATTTCTTTTTCGCTTCTTCATACGATTGAATATATTTATCTGTGTCCTTGCCATTACCGGCATATCTAATTTTCATCTTTTTCTTCTGTAATTTTTAACTGGTTAATGAGTACTTCGAATAACGGCTAAGGGTAAGACAGGACCCGCCCCGGTGATTGGCCAATAGTCAAAAATTAAACGAATCCCGATTGGTCAAAATTCGGACATAAAGTTGAATAAAAGCATCTCATTTGCGTAGGCACAAATATGGTTTAAAATTTTTACAATCTTGTGTAAGCTACGACAGAAGTCATCTTTTACTATCCCAATGTACATTCGAGTTCTGAATCTAAGTTAATGTCCAACGAAGCTGAAAAATTTATCCACACGCCTATGACGTAGAATGTGAAACAACGTCGGGTTTAAAGTGGGATTATTTTGTTGTTTGTGAAACGGGATATCAACAAATTATTGATCATTTAATGAAATTTAATTTTCTTCCGTGCTTTGAAGTAATAAAAATATATGTTATTCTGATTTAGCAATTGAATACATGGTACATGATACTCAGCTTTTACGCATATGTTCGTGCAGACATAAATTCTAGAGGCGGTGATATGTGTTTTATGTTGTATTATTGTTGAAGTTATATTTTGGAATAGACTTTGATTTCGAGTTTTACTGTTAACCAGAGACCGTCACTATAGAAAGAATTCTTTGTAGTTACCATGTTAGATTTGCAAAACGAAAATAAGGTCATCCTGGCTATGGCGATAAACTACATCCGCCACCTGGGTAAGACGATAAACTACATCCGACAGCAAGGCATTTGATGAGAAGATTTTGAGGAGCGTAGAACCACCTCTTAATTATTGGAGTTCACAGATATTCCCATATTATGTGGTAGCACCTGTTAGGGTCCTAGCTATGAGCAAATAGTTAACATCCACAAAACGGGTCAAAACTCTATGAAAGTACCTGTTTTTTTTTTTTTTTTTTTTTTTTACCAGCAATATATTTTGGAAAAAAAAATTACCAGCAATACATTTTGAAAAAAAAAAAAAAACTATTACCAGCAATATATTTTGAAAAAAAATCACCAGCAATACAT